TGGCAGCCTCCTGACATCCGCCTGACAGAAGCCTGACGAAGGCCTGACGGAGGCCTGACGGAGGCCTGACCTGCCTGACCCAGGTTTGACCGAGGTGGCACCGGAGGCGAACCATGGCTGACGGCGTCGCTGCTGCTGGTGAGTCCGATGATGGAGCGAGAGTGAGTCTGAGGAACGAGTCTGATATCGAGTCCACGCGTCCACTCCGAGTCCACGCGTCCATTCCGAGTCCACGCGTCCACTCCCAGTCCACGCATCCACTCCGAGTCCACGCGTCCACTCCCAGTCCACGCATCCACTCCGAGTCCACGCGTCCACTCCCAGTCCACGCGTCCACAGGTCATGGTACGAAGCGGTCTCTCCGGCTACTGTGGTCGTCAGCTCTCTTTGGTGGTGCTCAAACGGTCATAGGCGCAAGTCTATCTACGTCGCTTGATAACGCCTCGCTGCTCGAGGCAAAACGAGGGTTACCCAGAGGTCGCAGCGGAGCGGTTTTACATTCTAGGCAAGTCCGCAGACGTTACACACTAGCACGATTGGGTGCGAAGGCATCACATTGTAAAGAATCGCACGCTGGTGGACCAGGTATTCGCCCACAGCACTGTAGCTCCTCGTGCACGCAGGTGTTGGGACTGAGTCCGTCGGGACTGAGTGTACCGACAGTTTACACGGGGGCACGTGGGTGTGAGGCGGCGCCACGCTTCCTTTTGCATTAGTCTGCCACTCAGCTTTGCGTCGCAAGCTACTGACGTCGCTAGCTATCGCTATCGCTTGTCCCCCCTCCTCTTCCCTTCATCTGCCCTTCGTATCCCCTTCCTCCCCCCATTCCATCCTCCTCCTCTCCCCCCTGCTCTCCCCTTGCTTCCCCCCCGCTCTCCCCCCTGCTCTCCCCGCCACTCCTCTCCCCCCTCCGCTCCCCCCCTCTCCCCCTGATTTCCCCCCTCCTCTCCCCACTCCTCTCCCCCTGCTCTCCCCCCCTCTCCCCACTGCTCTCCCCCTTGCTCTCCCCTTGCTCTCCCCCCTCCTCTCCCCCTCTCCCGTCCTCCAGCCAGCCTCACCATCGGTGACGAGCGGCAGGCGGAAGCTGACGTGGCAGTGACAATAGCGGACGGGAGTGCTGCAGGCGCGCAGAAAGCCGGCAGGGAAGCGGCGCGCGATGGGGAGAGTCTGGAAGCGGGGATGCTGCAGGGCGGGGCGGGGAAGGACTCGAGCCGGGCGGAGCTGTGGGAGGGCGGGGAGGAAAAGAATGGTGGAAGCCGTGGTGACGCGCGCCAGCAGCATGGGGATGCGCCTCATGGGTGTGGGGACGTGCAGCGCATGCGCCGGGGGAGCGGCAGCGGGTGGTGGAGGCGGCGCTGGAGACAGTGGAGCAGGACAACGAGGCGGTGATGGCGAAGATGCGGGCGCGGCTGGACAGGTGCGGGTTGGTGGGGGGGAAGGAGGGGAGGTATGCACAGCGTCGTGCACAGGTGTGGCGTGGCATGTACAGTGGGCGTGGCATGCCATGGTGTGTGACAGGGGCAGGAAGGTTGAGGATAGGGTGGGGAACGCAGGGAGTGCGAGGTGTGGGGGAAGAGGGGGGGGGGAGGGGGACGAAGGGAGGGATGGAGAAGTGGAGGAGTGGGTGGCGTGGTGTGGGTGGCAATGCGAGGCTGAAGTGTGTGACCAGGAGGCAGGCAGGCCCTCTGTGGATGCAACCATGCGTGATGCATCCCCTTTTCCTTGTGGCTTATCAAACATTCCTCTCGTCTTCATGGTTTGTCATCCTATGGGCATGTGCATGCATGGCTGCACTGCACGCGTGCATGGCTGCACGCACGCCATCACATGGCAGGGGTGAATCTGGAGCCCCCATCAGTGGAGATTCGATTTGAGGATGTCAGTGTGGAGGCTAGGGTGTATGTGGGGCAAGAGAGGACTGCCCACCCTCCCTAACTTCACACTCAATATGATCACAGTAAGTCACTCAATATGGCCACACATGCGCACGCATCACTTCATGCGCACACGTCACTTCATGCGCACCAGTCGGGTGACTTGGTGCACCGTGCACGTTCTCAACTACCCTGCGACCCTGCCCAAGCCACCTGCCAAGCCATCTGCCCAAGCCACGTGCCCAAGCCACTTGCCCAAGCCGCCTACCTGCCACTATCTATTGGGCCTGCCGCCTTCTTTCAACCATCTCACCTTGAGACCAATCCAGGAGGCACACGCGTTCCCAAGGAGGCACACGCGTTCCTAGGAGGCACAGCGGCATATTCTCCTAAACCCACTTCCTCCTGTTCCCTCCGGATCGTCCTCTCCCCCATCGGCGGGCGCCCAATCTTCGGCGCTGGCTGCGCTGCATGTGTGCCTGCTGCCCCACACACGCACTCACTCAGAATCCCGCCGGCACCTCTTCCTTCCACATGGCTCCCACACGCTGTCACACAAACGCCCCCACACGCCCCCACACGCCCCCCAGCCCCCCGCCCCCCCCCTCCAGTCGTGGCTGCGTATCATGCAGCTGCCGCCCGACACATGCACTTTCTCTAACCCCCCCCTTCCCCCCTTCTCCTTCCGTATACTCCCCGCCCCTCTCCTTGTTCCCCAGTCCTGGCTGCGCAGCATGCGCCTGCTGCCCCGACGCGAGGCGCCGCTTCCCCATCCTCCACGGCTGCAGCGGGGGTGCTCAAACCGGGCAGGTGAGGCTTCAAGCCGGGCAGGTGAGGCTCCCATTCGGGCAGGTGGGGCTTCAAGCTGGGCAGGTGAGGTCCACACCCTGCCACGCGCGGTTTAAAACCCTGGCAGGCGAGGCTTAAAGCCCGTGGCTAAAATAGAAGACGTGGAAGCCACTTGAATTTGGTGCTGTGAAATCCGTCTAAGTATAGAATGGAAGGCAGCTTTGAGCTCAAGCCTGGACAAGAAAAGTGCGTCGAAACGAATTCTAGTCTAGCTTGCTGATTGGAGGAATGACGAAAGAAACTCGTTTTGCTGTTTGTTGTGACACCATCATTTGGATGCGATTTGGGCAAAAACACTGTGTGCATCGCATGGAGTTTCTACGACGGGTTTGGGCGCGAAGTCTGCGACGAGGAAATACAGGCGCGTCAATGACCGGGGAATTCAAGGTGATTTCCAGGTTTGCAATTCCGGAATCAGCTAACTGTTCGCCAAGAAACACTGTTCTTCTCGCATTTTCACTGTTCACGGAACCACAAATTCGGTCGCCACGACGCGTATTGCACTGTTCACCGAATGATTTCGTGCAAAAGTGTCGCCAAACTGCCAGGGTCAGATTCTGCTTTGCAAAACGAAATGTTTTTATTCTGTTTCGTTTACTCTAAAAAATTAAGTCATTTGCCAAGTTCAAGAGGAATTAAGCAGCCCTATTGATTGCTATTATAGCCATGGGATTTAAACCCTGGCAGGTGAGGCTCAAACCCTGACAGGTGAGGCACGCACCCTGGCAGGTGAGGCACGCTCCCTGGCAGATGAGGCCTATAGCCGGGCAGGTGAGGTTTTAACCCTGGCTTGTGAGGCTAAAACCCTGGCTGGTGATGCTTAAGCTCTGGCAGGTGTGGCTTTAACCCTGGCAGGTGTGGCTTAAACCCTGGCAGGTGTGGGCTTAAACCCTGACAGCTGTGGCTCAAACCCTGGCAGGTGTGGCTTAAACCCTGGGTGGGCCGGCCAGGTGAGACTCAGCTTAGACCAAATGACGCTTATGCCTGCCAGGTGGCACGTAGCTGGGCAGGTGGGTGGCGATTGAGCTGGGGTGGCACTTGAGCCTGGTAGCTGCTATATTTGCCCATACGTGCCAGCAAGCAAGCGCTGCTTCTGATATCTGCTTCTACACCCTCCCTTCACATCCCCTCTGGGCCCTCCAAGGTTCCCCTCTTCTCCCCCCCTTCCCCCCACCTCCCCTCCCCCCCTCCCCCCCCATAAGCATGGGCAATAGGTAGGCTTGAGCAACGGGTCGGGTCGGGTCGGGTAACCCGACCCGAACCCGACTTTTTGACGGGTCGGGTTGACATTTGCGGAGGGTCGACCCGACCCTCGGGTGCCCGACCCGACCCGACCCGACCCAACCGACAAAACCCAACCCGTCGGTTCGGCTTATTACCCGTCCCTGCCCCTATGCCAATTCGACCCGACCCGACCCGAAATCGGGTCAGGTAGTACCCGACCTACTAAACCCGGGTCGGGTTGACATTTCCTGAACTCCGACCCAACTTGACCCGACCCGACCCGACCCGAACCCGACATCGGGTAGCGCAACGTCGGGTCGGGTCGGGCCGGGTCAGGTATATGCTCAAGCCTAGCAATAGGCGAGTCGAGCATTACTTGCTCCCAGTAATTCTGACTCGACCCTCTTGGGAGGGGAGTCGAGCATTACTCGAGTTGAGTTTTTTTGCCAAGAAACCGACTTGTTTACTCGTTTTTCGGGCGAGTAAACGTTTTACTCGGGGGCGAGTAATTTTTACTCGCCCTGAGGCAAGCATTACTCGCCTCGGGGCTGTTTGCCCCCCCTCCCCGAACAGTCACATTTTAGGAGTAGGCTTGAGCAACGGGTCGGGTCGGGTCGGGTAACCCGACCCGAACCCGACTTTTTTGACGGGTCGGGTCAGGTTTTCCCGTCGGAAGAACCCGACCCGTCGGGTTTGATTTGTACCCGTCGGGTCGGGTCAACCCGAACCCGACATGGACGGGTTCGGGTGAACCCGACATGGACGGGTTCGGGTGAACCCGACATGTCGGGTTGAACCCGACCCGACTTCGGGTATACATCGTCGGGTTGACCCGACCCAACCCGAACCGAAGTCGGGCCGTGCCTCGACCTGACGCAATCTGCACGACCTGAGTTGCGCAGATCTGGAAAGTCTGACGGTTTGGTCGAATGTTTTGACCAGATGGGCCATTTTCCAGATCCTACTTAGGCTACCTCCCATTTTTACCCTGCATCCAGCTCATTCCTAACACTAATCTACTCCCCACCATGCTTATTTGATCGACCAATTTCCATATCGGTTTCTATTGGATCGACACAAACCAACAAGCTCCTCGACACCACCACCAACCCAACCAACTTTTCGCCCAACACGCCCAACCAAACCAACTTTTCGCCAACACTTCCAACCAACCAATTTTCCGCCAACACGCCCAGCCCAACCGAATTTTCGCCAACACGCCCAACCCACCGAATTTTCGCCAAACACCCGCAACCAAACCAAAATCTCGCCAACACCCCCAAGCCAACCAATCTTTCGCCACACCCTAAAACCAACCAAAAAGTCGCCAACACCCATTCATTCCGTCACTGGTTTTCATCAACATCCTCCAACTTAACCAATACTTCGCCAACACCCAAAACCACATGTCGAGGTTGCGGGGGGATGAGGAGGGTGGGCTAGGAGACGCGAGGAGGACTCACTGGAGGACTCAGCTGTTCCCCCCTGGGGAAAAAATAGCTTCTAGTTAGGTCGGGTCAAGTCGGGTCGGGTCGGGTCGCATCAACCCGACCCGACCGCGGGTAGGAGCTGACCCGACCAGCTATGGTCGGGTCGGGTTGGTAAAATCCTAACATCGACCCGACCTGACCCGACCCGACCCGACCCGAACCCGACCTCGGGTTAGGCAAAGTCGGGTCGGGTCGGGTCGGGTCGGGTTAATGCTCAAGCCTATTTAGGAGGGGAGCGTTTGAACGTTAAATGCTTGATTTCTGGTCTGGCAATCGCTTGATAAACGGAAGGGGGGGGGAAGCGGGGTTGCAGAGCACGTTCTAGAGGCGATATGGTGGCCTCTGTAGTTGCGTGCGGAAATAAGTTACCAGGATTAGAAGGGATAGCGTGTGCACCCTCCTCACGTAGAGCGTGCTAGAGGGGTGGGTTGGATTTCCGTAGTTGCAGACAGGTTCAGTGCGATTGAAGTGGAGGGATTTGGTTGGTCGTCGATTTCTGGCGAAAATGTCGACATTCGCGACTTGGCGACATTCCGTTTCGGATTCGCCACGTCACGCAGTTTCGATTGGTTTCTTCGCATTTTCTTGGGGGCAGCCGAAAGAACAAAAAGCAGCCACGTTTGGGGTCTGAAATTGCACTTGTGGTCACATAGCTTCATTTAGGGGTCTGAATCGTTAGGCCAGCACAAGATGACTTGGCATGCACGCTAAAGTGTGAGCAAAATCAGTGCACGCACGGAGTTGTTGCTCGCGAGTAATTTTTCTCGCCCACATGAGACGAGTAACAGTCGAGTACTCGTTTACTCGACGAGTAAACTCGACTCGACTCGGGGCGAGTTATTTCCAGGAGGTGCCGGCTCGTTACTCGGAAAAAACGAATCAAGCAATCGAGTCGAGTTTTTACTTGCCTCGACTGCCCATGCTTACCCCCCCACATACACACCCCATGCCTGAAGATCGGCTCCTCTCCTTTCTCCCCCCCCCCACCCCCCCCCATTCCCCTTAAGGATGACGCTTCTCCTTGGCTCACCTGGCGCTGGCAAGACCACACTCATGACTGCCCTGGCTGGCCACCTGGACAGGCACCTGAAGGTATGCTGGCCACCTAAACCTGAAGGTATGCCTGCTAGAAAACCCGGCAGTGAGAGATTGACTTGACTATGCATGTTGGACTCGGTGTATTCCACTCCTTCTGCCCTCCCCTGAGAGCTCTGTTAGCACGTTGTTGCGCGGCGGTGCCTCATGCATGCTGCTCTTCTCATCTTTTCTCCCTGCCTCTTGCCTCTTGCCCCTTGCCTCAACCCTCTTGCCTCCTGTTTTCCATCTCTGCAGCTCGCCGGCTCCATCACGTACAATGGGCAGGAGCTGAAAGATTTCAACCCTGCCCGAACAGCGTCTTGTGTGCCACAGACCGACGAGCACATTGGCGAGATGACCGTTAGGGAACCCTTGACTTCTCCCGCTCAGCTGCAGGGCCGCGGGCCGTTCAGAGGTGAGACAGCTGCAGGGAAGAGGGCCTTCAAAGGGCGAGATAGCTGCAGGAAAAGAGGGCCTTCAAAGGGTGAGGTATCAATCTTGCCCCTTGAGACGACTCACAGGTCACTATGGCGTGGGGATGTTGTGCTCTGGGAGGGTGGGCCAGGGGAGTTTGGGGGACGGTTTCGCTTTCCTCTGTGTTGCGAACTACTCATGCCAGGATGACATCTTCTCCTTTTGTTGGGATGTTGAAGGGTAGATGCGTTGTAGGTGCTAGGAGTTTTTGTCTGCGTGGACACTTGTACTGTAGTTCCTTCATGTGTGTGTGTGGATGTGTGTGTGGTTCTGTCTGAGTGCAGTGCTTGTGGAGGAGTTGGAGAGGAGGGAGAGGGAGATGGGGGTGGAGCCGGATGCGACAACAGCCCTGCTGATGAAGGTGAGGCCATGAGTCAACGCTGGTCAAAGACGAGTCAATTCTGGTCAGCATGAGTCAATTCTGGTCGAGGCGAGTCTGGACGGTCAATTAAGCACAGTCAATGCTCACGGAAGGAAATCCTTCGTGACGTCCCACGGAATCTTTCCTTGTTGGTTGTCCTCATTTTCTTCTCATTGCCTTTTCTGCATCCTGCTCTCTTCCTGGTCTCCTCCTCTCCTCTCACCTCTCACGTCAGCTCTTTCCTCCACCTTCCTGCCAGGCCATGGCAGTGGAGGCCAACCCGTCCAACATGGTCACCAACTATCTGCTGCAGGTCTGACAGGGTGTATCATTTGAGCGTGCCCCTAAACCCTATGCTGCAGTTGTGGCTTGTGTTGCACATGTGACTGTCTAGGGTTGAAGGTTGATCTTTAACCCTATGGTGCATGTGTGGCTATAAGGGGGGGTGCGTGGCTATAAAGGTGTGGGTGGTTTTAAGAGTGTGCGGCTATGTGCTCCAGGTGTCACTAAATTCTCTCTGATATTTTTGCTGGAGCAGCACACAAGTGAAGATTTCTTTGAGATTATGCACAGGAAAGCCCTGCTTCTCTGGACTAATCGATTCGTTTCTTCCACCTGCTTTGTTGTTTTCCCCTGATGCCAAAGCTTCGCTTCTTGCAAATTACTATCGGCAGCTGTTGGGGCTGGCATATACGCTCGCGGACCCCGGGGGGCTATGCACTGTGTGCTCTTCTGAAGCCCAAACACCCCCCTCACCCTGCAGCGTCTGGGGCTGGGCATCTGTGAGGAGACGATGGTGGGCGATGTGTGATCATCTGCTGCCCAGGCATGCCACAATCACTCCCAAGCACCCAACTCCCCTGCAACCCACCTCACTCCTGTGCACACCTCTTCCGTCCCCCCCCCAGCTGCTGGGGCTGGGCATCTGTGCGGACACAGTGGTGGGCAATGCTTTGGTGCGAGGCATTTCAGGCGGGCAGAAGAAGAGGCTGACCACAGGTGCGTTACGGGCAGAGGAAGAGGCTAACGTCCATTGCATTCGATGCTCTGCGCAACTCGAGTTGCGCGGGTCTGAAAAATTTTCCTTATACTTCCAATTGTTTCTCCACATCTGCGCGGATCGGCAGGTGGAACGCCAGATCCGCACGATATGACAGGCTTGCATGGTGGGGGGAGGGAGGGGTATATGGTATAGTAGGCCCAGAGGCCGGCCCAACCGGTTTGCGGTGGATGGGCCGAGGGCCGTCAAAGAGCCAGGGCCGGCCCTGGCCCTTCCCTTGATCATGTGCATTGCTCCCTGCTTTGATCAATGTGTTCTTTCCATCCCTTCAGGTCAAGAACTAGTGGGCATGCAGCAAGTGCTCCTGATGGACGAGATCTAAAACCGGTCTTAACTCCTCTACCACCTTCCTCTTCGTGTGCTCCCTCTTTCTTCCCTCTCTCCTCTCTCCCCCCTCCTTCTTTTCAGGCGAGGAGCTGGTGGGCATGAGGCAAGTACTCCTGATCAACCGGTCTTGACTCCTCCACCACCTTCCTCATCTCCCGGCCGCTCATCCCCTTCTCTCTCACACCCACTGCCCCCAGGCGAGGAGATGGTGGGCATGAGACAGGTCCTCCTGATGGACGAGATCAGCACGGGCCTCGACTCCTCCACCACCTTCCTCATCGCGCGCTGCCTGCACCACCTCACGCACGCGCTGCGCACCACCACGCTCGTCGCGCTGCTGCAGCCTGCCCCCGAGACCTTTGCGCTCTTCGATGACGTGCTACTGCTGGCAGAGGGCCATGTGGTGTACCACGGGCCCCGGGAGGGCGTCATGGGGCTCTTCCAGTCACTTGGGTTCGACTGCCCGCGCAGGAAGGGAGTTGCGGACTTCTTATTGGAGGTGAGTGGGATTTTGCTGGCGGAGGGGCATGTGGCGCACCACGAGCCGAGGGAGGGGGTCATGGGGCTGTTCCAATTGCTGGGGTTCGACTCCCCGCCCAGGAAGGGCGTGGCAGACTTTTTGCTAGAGGTGGGTGCGGATGATGCTGTGTGTTGAGGCTCTTCAAGGTGCTGTTGCTGGCGGAGGGGCATGTTGTGCGCCATGGGCGAGGGGGGGGCTGAGTAATTGGGTTTGACTGCTCGGCCGGATGAAGGATGGCATAACTTTCGATAGAGGTGAGGTGAGTGGTATGATCAAGTGGGGCTGTGAGTTGGGATGGTGTTGTTGGAGCGTACAACTGTGGTGATGATATTCTCGCAGATAACTCTAGTGGTGAAGAGAGCATGGCCATCTTGCTGGCGGAGGCAGAGGTGACAATGCAAGCATGCATCCCATCCCCTACCTCGTCCTTTCTCATTCAGCTTCAATCATTTCCACGATCAGGTGCCTTTTAACATGGTTCTTCCTCCTCTTCCCCCTCCCACCCCCTGTCGTCCCAGGTGACGTCAGCCAAGGACCAGGCGCAGTACTGGGTGGACCGGTCTCAGCCGCACGAGTTCATGGCGCCTGGCGATATCGCCGCCGCCTTCCGCCACTCCGCCAGCGGCAAGCAGAGGCAGGCAGAGCTGGCGGTGAGTGAGTGCAGCACAGAAGGGAGAGAGGACGTTTAACATGAGAGTGAGGGCATGCCCCATCCGTTCATTTCTCTCTTACCCCTACTTTTCCTCCTCGCTCCGCTTTTCTTGTTCCATCTTCATTTCGCCCCACTCTTTTCCTTTTCCTCTCCCCTCTCTCCATCCGCCCCCGCCCCTCTTTTCCCTCTTTTCCTCTTTTCATTTGGACCTTCACTTCCTTCGTGTCCCAACTGTGTTACCCAGCAAATCCAGCATTGACCATTGGAACAATGTAACTCGTCTGATCCCCTCCGTCTTTCCCCCTTTCCGCCTTCCCGTTTCTCCATTTACTTTTACTTCCCATCGCTTGGTCCCTCACAGGCCCCCTTCCCGCCCACAGATGCGTCCAAGTCAGCACTGGAGTTGGCGCCCTATGCCCTCTCGGCCACTCAGATGCTGACAGCTGTCTTCGCCCGGGAGTGGCTGCTGATGAAGCGCAACGCGCTGCTCTACATGGCGCTCATCATGCAGGTGGGAGGCATGGCGCTCATCATGCAGGTGGGGCGTGGTCTCCAGTGCTGACTTGGATGTGCTCATCATGCAGGCATACACATGTGTGACGTAGCATGCATGGGGTGTACATCCATGTGTGTCGCTAGTCATGCAGGTGGGACGTGGCCGGTGGGATGTGTGATGCTGCATGCACATGGGGTGTGACATACACCATTGGTGTGACATGCACATGTGGTGTGACGTGGCATGCATGTGTGGTGACATGCATATGTGGTGACATGCATGATGCATATGTGGTGTGACATGCATGCCTGATGTGACGTGGCTGAAAGAACACAAGTTGGTAAGCTTGGAAAGCCTCAACCATGAAAGATCTGGGACCACTGCTGGTGTCATGCAAAAGAGCCTCTCTGTCCTCACTTGATCCTGACACCTCAGTGCCCTCCATTCCTCTTCACCGCTCTGCACCTCCACCCCTTCCCCTCCTCCCACCCCCCACCGCTCTCCATGCAGATCATATTCACGGGTCTCATGGTGTCCATGGTGATCCTGCGCACCCACGCAGTGCTCCATCACAATGAAAAACTACCAGAACCTTTACCCGCACGATACCCGCTCTGCACCACCCTCTACCCCTCTCCACCCCTCTCCATGGGGCTCATGTCGGCTGCGGCGTTCCTGTACACGCAGCAGTCCATAACCACCAAGAGACTTTCAAGACCTAGACTCTTGACCCCTCTCCACCCCTCTCCACCGGCCTTCCACCGTTCTCTGTGCAGGTCATATTCACAGGGCTCATGTCATCCACAGTGTTCCTGTACACGCAGCGCTCCATCACCGCCAAGGACGGCAACATCTACCTGGGGGTGCTGTTTCTGGGGATCACCATGATGCTCTTCAACGCTTTCTTCGAGCTCCTGCTCTTCACGCTGCGCCTCCCCATCTTCTTCAAGCAACGGGATGCGCGCCTCTTCCCCGCCTGGGCGTGGGTGCTGCCCATGGCGCTGCTCTCGCTGCCGCTTTCTGTGGTCGTCGCGTCCCTCTGGACGGTCTGCACCTACTTCCTTGTTGGCTTTGCGCCCGAGGCTGGAAGGTGCGCCAGACTGCGCATGGGGAAAGAGGGTGGATGGTTTTTTTGTCCACTGGATAGTTGTGCGTGTGCCTCACCCTCCCTCCCTCTCCTTTCCCTCTCGTGCTTCTCACTTTCTCTCCCCCCTCTCCCCTCCCTCTTCCCAACCCCATGCAAGCACCGCGCAGCTTTTCAATCCGCCCCTCATCCTCCTCATCCACCCGGCTAATGTCGCTCTCTTCCGCCTGCTGCCTGCAGCACCCAGGGCTCTCACTTTCTTGCCCCCCCCTCTCCTCTCCCTCTTTTTCCAAGCCACACTCCCTGCAGGTTCTTCATCCAGCCGCTCACATTCTTCCTCCTTCCTGCCCTTCCCCCGCCTTCCCCTGCCCTCGTCCTCTCAGGTTCTTGATCCAGCTGCTCATCCCCCTCCTCATTCCTTTCCCTTTCCCCTTTGCCCTTTTCTCCGCAACCCCTCACCCCTGCAGGTTCTTCATCCAGCTGCTCATCTTCTTCCTCATCCACCAGGTGGGCGTGGCGCTCTTCCGCCTGCTGGGCGCGTTGGGCCGCAACCTGGTGGTGTCCGTCACCCTGGGCAACTTCTGCTTCATCCTCCTCTTCCTGCTCGGGGGCTTCATTGTTGCCAAAAGTACGCCACACTACACACCTGTTGCTACCTGCACACCTGTTGCTACCTGCGCACCTGTTGCTACCTGCGCACCTGTTCCGAGCTGTATCCTCTTCCATCATCGACCCGACCATAGATGTTGAAGGTGTACAAATGCCACCCTTCTATTACCCGATGCCCTGCTGCCGTCCTGCCATGTCATTCCATGCCATGCCATGCCATGCCATGCCGTGCCATGCCATGCCATGCCATTCATGTCTCTTGCCATCCAAACTGGTCGCTCATCTCTCTCGTCACTTGGAGCTTTCATTCCCATCGCCTCGGGGATTACATTCCCATCATTCGCTCATCAGGTGGCTCTCCTTCGTGCTCCACCGCTCTTGCCATAATTCGTATCACCGTTGTTGCCTCATGCCATTTACAGCATGCTGTGGTTCATGCCGTGGTTCATGCCATGGTTCATGCCGTGGTTCATGCCATGGTTCATGCCATGGTTCATGCCGTGGTTCATGCCATGGTTCATGCCATGGTTCATGCCGTGGTTCATGCCATGGTTCATGCCATGGTTCATGCCATGGTTCATGCCATGGTTCATGCCATGGTTCATGCCGTGGTTCATGCCGTGGTTCATGCCATGGTTCATGCCATGGTTCATGCCGTGGTTCATGCCATGGTTCATGCCATGGTTCATGCCGTGGTTCATGCCATGGTTCATGCCATGGTTCATGCCATGGTTCATGCCATGGTTCATGCCATGGTTCATGCCGTGGTTCATGCCGTGGTTCATGCCGTGGTTCATGCCATGGTTCATGCCGTGGTTTATGCCATGGTTCATGCCATTGTTCATGCCATGGTTCATGCCATGGTTCCTGCCATGGTTCATGCCATGCCGTGCCGGCCTATCAAATGCCGCCCAATCACTTGAATCATCCCCTTATCACTTGAATCACCCCCTTATCACTTGAATCACCCCCTCTCATGACTCTCGTCATCACACCTTATAGTTTGTCAATTCTCCTTGTGCTGCATACATGACGTCCTGCCATGGTTCATCTGGGTCGGTTGATCGGCGCCCATCACTCGTATCACCTCTCATCCGCCCATCACTCGTATCACCCCTCATCCGCCCATCACTCGTATCACCCCTCATCCGCCCATCACGGACTTATGTTTGCCACTTCTCCTTCCCCCGCCACAGATGGCATCCGGCCGTGGCTCATTTGGGCCTACTGAATGTCGCCCCTGACCTGCACTCCACCGTGCTTCATTTCTGATTGCCAACACTGAATGGTTCCAATACCCCCCCACCCCCTCTCCCCTCCTCACAGATGATATCTGGCCGTGGTCCACCAGGGCGTACTGGATGTCGCCCATCACCTGACCTGCACTCAGCCATGCTTCATCCCCCCCTGGAATCCTGGATGTCATTGCAGCACTGTATGCTGCCACTTATTCCTCCCCCACCCCCCCCTCCTCCTCCCTTTGCAGACGACATCCGGCCGTGGTTCATCTGGGCGTACTGGATGTCGCCCATCACCTACGCACAGAACGCCATCTCTGTCAACGAACTGCTCGCCCCCCGGTGGCAAGTGGTGAGTCAGTGGCATGCCAGGTTGGAAGGGGATGGGATGCAACCCAACTATAGGGTATTTACTGAACATGACACTCTACAGTCTGGGATTCAGAAAACAATGCTCTAAGAAACAGATACCCAAACCCACGTTTGTGAGATGGATCGTTCCTACAGATGCACGATTTGTCCCCTTCCCCCTCCGCCCTCCCCCTTGCCATCCACCCGTCCCAAGGGCCATTGGTTCCCAACCATGGCTAGGCCTGCTAGTGCTCGCAGTGGCTTCTCAGTCCACTTGAGCTTATCCCCAACCCCATTGACCTTGGTGAGGTAACCTCCTACCCCCTCTCCCGTCCCCCTTCCCCCCACCCCCAGCCCACAGCGCCTCTGATCCCCAACTCCACAGTGGGCCTGCTAGTGCTGCCAGGTGGCTTCTCTATCAACTGAAGTCCCCCTTGCTCTCTCCCCCCTGCCCCCTCCCCCCTATCCGCCAGTCCACAGCGCCCCTGGTCCCCAACTCCACGGTGGGGCTGGTGGTGTTGGCGGGGCGCGGGCTGCCCTCGGAGAGCAAGTGGGTGTGGATCGGCGTTCTGGCACTCATCGGCTTCACTCTCCTCTTCAACGGACTCATCGTCGTCGCCCTCTCCATCCTCCACCGTCCGTGCTGCTCTCTCTTGCTGCTCGCTCTTGCTGCTCTCTCTTGCGGCTCTCTCTTGCTGCTCGCTCTTGCTGCTCTCTCTTGCTGCATGCCCCATTGCTTCTCCCCCCTGTATGGTGGCCTCTTTGCCCTCTCCATTCTCCACTGTCAGTGCTGCTCTCTCTTACAGCCCAATTGCCCTCTCCACCCTCCACCGTCCGTGCTGCTCTTCCTTCAAGCTGAGCTCTCTCGGTTGAAGCACATGGCCATCACCCTGTCCTTTTCCTTTGCAGTAGCCATCGTCTGCTCTTCGAACCTCTCAGTGAAACCCCGTCGCTCGCTGTTCCTCATTCTGCTCCCATCCCTTCCCCATTCCACCCTATGCCACGTCACCATCTGCCATCAGCATGGGCCAAGGACCAGCCAGTGACAGAGGAGCAGCTGGAGGCCAGGGTGGAGGCAGCAGTGGGCCTCACGCCCACCACAGCCACCAGCAGACGCCTCTCCAGGCGCTTCAGCAGCAGCAAGGGCAATGCTGGCGGCGGCGATGGTGGGGGGGACATGGGCTCGCTGCCCATCAGCATCAGCATCACCCGCACCCAGTCAGGGCAAAGCTCCCGCTCTGTGGGGTCCCGCAGTGGAGCCCTCGAGCGGTACTGTGAGAGAGGTGAGGGTAGGCTTGGGCAAATTACCCGTGCTGGTCGGGTACCCGTACCCGTACCCGACTTTTGGCCGGATCGGGTAGTACGAATTCGACTTACTACCCGGCCGGGTTGGGTCGGGTAACCCGGCCGGGTAACCGATACCGGTTTTCCTACCCGACGCGGCGGGTAATTCATACCCGCCGGGTCGGGTAAACCCGACCCGACTAGGCTATTGTTAACACCCCTAAAACACATTATGGGCCTCATTATGGCCCATTATTTTGGGCGGGTAGTAATACCCGTTTTTAACCACAACTAGGGTATGGGTACTCGACCCGCGGGGCGGGTACCTTATTACCTGCCCACTATACCCCGGGTCGGGTAATGGTTGTGGGCCAGATACCCGACTACTACCCGCCCCGATATTACCCGACCCGAAGTCAGGTAAGGCAAAATCGGGCACGGGTGGGTAATTACCCGTTTTTGCCCAACCCTAGGTGACGGAATGGTGAAAGAGGTGAGAGAATGGCGAGAGAAACTTTGTTAGAAATAGATTGCAATCCCACTTTTGTATTTGTACTTTTATATCCTAGTTTAGATTATGAATGTTCTTGAGGGTTGGGATGCACTCTCAAATCCCAACCTCACCTAATTGTGATCCCCCCAATCTCCAATCACCCAATTGGAGATTCCGGAGATTCCGGAGATTCCAATGGGGATTCTCTCCGATTCCCCCCTTCAACCATCTTCCCTCACCTTGCCATGTACTTATAAAGCCTTGGGCTCCTTACCTAATTAATCCATTCAGTTCAAGTTCTTACAGAACTGACACAAGTGCAGGTCCATATTTAGTTTGCACTCAAGCCATGAAACCCTTCCCCTCACTACCCACATCTATCCTTTTCCCTCACCACTCATCTGCACCGATCATGTTCATCACTCCCGTTCCCCCTCCACCCTCCATCCCTCTCCCCGCCGTCTCCCACCCCACCCGCAGTCTCCTCCTCTCGCTCCCTCGGCGGCCCACTCGAGCCCTCTCTGTCGCGTGACCTCTCCGTGCCGCCCGCCACCACGCGCGGCATGGTGCTCCCCTTCCAGCCGCTGCCCCTGTCGTTCCACAACGTGTGCTACTGGGTCGACATGCCACCCGCCATGCGCTCCCAGGGGGGGGACACGCCCTCCCGCCTGCAGCTCCTGAGGAACGTCTCTGGGGCGTTTCGCCCAAAAGTGCTGACGGCACTGGTGGGGGTGACGGGCGCGGGGAAGACTACTCTCATGGATGTGTTGGCAGGGCGGAAGACGGGGGGATATATCGAGGGGGATGTGCGCGTGGCGGGGCACCCGAAGGTGCACAAGACGTTTGCGCGCGTGTCGGGGTACTGCGAGCAGAGCGACATCCACTCCCCGCAGGTCACGGTGCATGAGTCGCTGCTGTTCTCGGCGTGGCTCAGGCTGCCAGCCGACATCGACAGGGACGTGAGGGAGGTGCGTGGGAACGAGTCATACAATGCCAAGGCTTCTTCAATTCCAGAATTATCAGCTGTTGAATATAATCTTTTAGCAAGACCGCACGCAGTAGGACTTGCCTGCAGGTCACGGGGCATGACTCGCCGCTGTTCTCCGCGTCACTCAGGCTGCCGGCCGACATCGAGAGGGACGTGAGGGAGGTGCATGGGAATAGCGGAGGAGATAATGGAAGGGTGGGTGGGTGGGTGGGAGGGAGCGAGGGGGCGTGAGTGGGTGGGTGGGCGGGTGGGTGGGTGGGAGGGTGGGTGTGTGGGTGGGTGGGTCGGAGGGTGGGTAGGTGGCTCAGACTGCCACTGGATGCTGACATGGCAGGGATATGCGGGAGGGGTGAGCTGAGCGACACGCTGGTGGGTCCTTGATTGAGACCTCTTCCTTTTGTCCCCTTTCCTTCGTTTGCTTACAGCATTGTGTGCCGGAGGGGATGGAGCTGGCGGAACTACAAGTAGGGGCAATCATGGGCTCTCCTTAGCCCCTCTCTTTTCTCTCCCCCCCACCCTTTCCCTTCCCCAGCCGGTCCTGTTCGTTCACCAGGAGTTGGTGGAGGAGGTGATGGAGCTGGTGGAGTTAGTTGTGCTGGGGGACGCGCCCATGGATCTTTCCGCGGATTCGAGTGGGTCTCATTCCCCCCGTGGCACCCTCCCCCCCGCTGCTCCCCTTCTCCACCAGGAGTTGGTGGAGGAGGTCATGGAGCTGGCTGAACTGGACATGCTGCGGGCAGCAATCGTGGGTTCTTTAGCCCTTCTCTTTTGTCCCCTTTGCTTGCTCCCCTCACCAGGAGTTCGTGGAGGAGGTGATGGAGCTGGTGGAGCTGGACGTGCTGCGGGGCGCGCTGGTGGGGCTGCCGGGGGTGAGCGGGCTGTCCACGGAGCAGAGGAAGCGGCTCACCATCGGGGTCGAGCTGGTGGCCAACCCCTCCATCATCTTCATGGACGAACCCACCTCAGGTAAAGCCTGGACGAGACCACCTCAGGTAAAGCCTGGACGAGACCACCTCAGGTACCGCCTGGACGAACCCACCTCAGGTGCCGCCTGGACGAACCCACCTCAGGTGCCGCCTGGACGAACCCACCTTTGGTGCTGCCTGGACGAACCCACCTCAGCTGCCACCTGCCCCAGGTAGCACCTATTTCAGGGGATGAGTTTGCTGTCGGCAGAGCAGAGGAAGTGCCTGGATGAACCCACCTCAGGTACCACCTGTATTAGGTAGCACATTAGGACCCTTCACCCTCTGCCCCTCTGCCACCCTGCCAAATTCCCCTCAGGTCTGGTTTCAGGAGCAGCAGCATGAGTGACGCAGAGGGTGTTGAGGCGCCCTCAAGGCCCGTTGCACCCTCCTCTATCCCCACAGGTCTGGCCGCAAGGGCAGCAGCCATTGTGATGCGTGTGGTTCGCCTTTTGAGGCACTTGAGGGTCCGTTCTCTTCCTGCCCCTCTGCCACCCTCCTCCACCCCCCCAGGTCTGGATGCAAGGGCAGCGGCCTTTGTGATGTGCATGGTGCACAACATGGTGCCCAACATGGTGCACAACATGGTGCACAACATGGTGCACAACATGGTGCACGCACATGGTGCACGCGGGCAGGACTGTGGTGCGCACCATCCATGGTTGCGCCACCGACTGTATTCAGAGCACCTCACCTGTATTCCACCTACGCCCCCCGCCTGTCGTCCTCAGGTCTGGATGCGAGGGCAGCGGCCATTGTGATGCGCACGGTGCGCAACACAGTGGACACGGGAAGGACTGTGGTGTGCACCATCCACCAGCCGTCCACCGATATCTTTGAGGCGTTTGACGAGGTGCGCTGTAACGGGTATGAATGTGTATCATCCATCAGTCAAACAGGAGTGTGGTATGCACCACTTTCCAGGCTGCAGTGTGCTAGTTACCATCATCTGCCACCTGTTTCTCACAATGACTGCCTGAATTGCACCCCAAAATGCATGCTGATGGCAAGTGCTGTTGTTTCAGCCGTTACCTCACTGTGGTGTCTGTTTGTTCATATAATGCAGCTGCTTCTAATGAAGACAGGAGGACAGGTTATTTATATGGGGCCTCTGGGGGTCAACTCGAAGCATCTCATCAGCTATCTTGAGGTATGTTACTATCGCGTCTTATGCAGTCTAGTTCCACGTCTTACCTCTCCCGTTCCTTCCTCTCCCTTCCCTTGCATTCCTCGCTTCGTTCCCTTCCTTATATTTCGACCTTTGTTCTATCCTGATTTCCAAATCACGTGGCACATGGCACATGGCACATGGAACTTCAAACCTGTTTCTCCCCCCCCCCTCGCCCTCCCCTCCCTGCCTTCCCTCGCCCTCCCCTCCCTCCCTTCCCTGCCTCCCCGTCCCTTCCCGTCACCTCCTCTCTCACGCAGGCCATACCCTGTGACCCATCCACATGGCTACCCGGAGACCCATCCACATGGATACCCGGAGACCCATCCACATGGATACCCGGAGACCCATCCACATGGATACCCGGAGACCCATCCACATGGATACCCGGAGACCCATCCACATGGATACCCGGAGACCCATCCACATGGATACCCGGAGACCCATCCACATGGATACCCAGAGACCCATCCACATGGATACCCGGAGACCCATCCACATGGATACCCAGAGACCCATCCACATGGATACCCGGAGACCCATCCACATGGATACCCGGAGACCCGTCCACATGGATACCCGGAGACCCGTCCACATGGACACCTGGAGACCCATCTACATGGATACCCGGAGACTCATCCACATGGATACCCAGGGACCCATCCACATGGATACCCGGAGACCCATCCACATGGATACCCAGAGACCCATCCACATGGATTCCCGGAGACCCATCCACATGGATTCCCAGAGTGCCCTCCATTCCCGATGCGACAACCCCACCAGGTGGATGCTGAACGTCACTCCCGTGGACTAGGAGATGCCATCGCATCTCTCAATCCCTTCCTCTTATTTTTCTCCTCTCCTCCCTTCTCCCGCCCTCCCTCCTCCCACCCTCTCTCCTCCCGCCCTCCATTACGCCAGGCAATACCCGGGGTGGCCCCCATCCCCGATGGCTACAACCCTGCCACGTGGATGCTTGAAGTCACAGCGCCTGCTGCTGCTGAGAGCATTGGGGCCGACTTTGCAGAAATATTTTGCAGCTCGCAGCTTTTCAGGTGAACCTCCAGGGGCTCGCAACTCTGCAGGTAAACCTTCGGGACCCGCAGGTGTTCCGGTGAATGTTTTATCTGCTCAGGTGAAAGGCCAGGGACTCACCTTTCAGATGAATATCCAGGAACATGAGATTGTTCAGGTGGCATTTTCAAGTCTTGCTGCAAGTCAAGTGAGATCACAAGTCGAAATGTCTGGTGAAGGGCCATCCATGATGCCATGTGTTTTCCTGACAACCTTCTCCTTCATCTCCCCCCTTTGTGCACCCCCTCATCCATCCATCCATCACTGCCCCATGGTCCTACCCCCCTGCGCCCATCTCTTCTCCCTCAACCCTCCCTCTTCATCTCTTTCTCCCCTCTCATTCTTCTCATCTTTCCCGGCATCCCCTTGCCTCACCCCTAACCCCCCTGCAGGGACAACAAGGCTCTGATCATCTCCCTCTCCGCCCTCCCTCCCGGCTCCGCCCCTCTCCACTTCTTCTCGAGCTGCGCCACCTTCTTCCCCACGCAGTTGGCCGCCAACCTGGGGCAGTGTGCACTCATGTTCTGCCCAGCACCTCACTTCACCGCCGTGCACTTCTCCCCCACCTCCCTCCTTGCCCTCACTCAACCTCCCCCTCCTCCCTCTCCTCCCTTCCCCCCCACACCCCTGCAGGGACAACGAGGCGCTGATCGCCTCCCTCTCCTCTCCCGCTCCCAACTCCGCGCCACTGCACTTCCCCACGCGCTACGCCACCTCCTTCCTCACGCAGTTCGCCGCCAACTTCTGGAAGCGCGCCCTCATGTACTGGCGTGCGCCCGACTTCAATGCCGTGCGCTTCTTCCTCGCGGTGTGCATGTCGCTGATCATGGGCGCCATCATGTTCAGCTTCGGCCACTCCCACACCACGCAGCAGGAGGTGCTGAACGTGATGGGCGCCCTCTACGTGACGGCCCTTCTCATGGGGTGGAACGCAGCCACGTCCCTCCAGCCCATGCTGTGCACCGAGCGCACTGTCTTCTACCGAGAGCGCGCCGCCGGGCTGTACGGGTCTCTCCCGTATGCTCTGGCGCAGGGTGCGATCGAGGCGCCGTACATAGTGGTGGAGGCGCTGCTGCTGTGCGTGATCACATATGCGCTGCTGGTGCTCCAGTGGACCGCGGCCAAGTTCTGGCTGTACTGCGCGTTCATCACCCTCACGCTGCTGTGCTTCGCCTGCTTTGGCATGATGGCAGTGGCCATCACGCCTAATGAGCTGCTCGCGGTGGTGCTCAGTGGGTTCTTTGTCATGTTGTGGAATCTCATGTGCGGCTTCCTCATCCCCAAACCGGTGAGTTGGCCATTCGGCGAAACGTGCCACGTTCAAGTGCTGTATTGAACCGACTTAAGAAAATGGCACTACAGTGGGTGTGCTATGGAGCCCCACTGCATTTTTCTCAATTCTAATTTCTAAACGGTAAGCAGCTCTTTAAAGCAAAAAGGGGCAGGTTCTCTAGACGCCCCCATTTTAACCAAAACTTCAAAGCAACGTGTTGACCAATATCCGACATTGCTTGTAGCTCCGAATGCCCGTCTTGTCTGACTGAAATCGCCTTGTGCCTTGAGCAGTCATGATGTATGCGTTTGCTGTACCTCCCATGCTTGTGGGTGTGCCTTGTGCGCGCGAACGGATGTGTGTGCATGCATTGTTGGTTGCTTCCAGGAAATCCCCGTGTGGTGGAGCTGGTTTTACTACATCAACCCCATAGCATGGTCGCTCTACGGCCTCATCACCTCTCAGGTCGGTGCCATCCCCTCTCAGGTCGGTGCATCCCTCTCAGGTCGGTGCCATCCCCTCTCAGGTCGGTGCCATCCCCTCTCAGGTCGGTGCCATCCCCTCTCAGGTCGGTGCCATCCCCTCTCAGGTCGGTGCCATCCCCTCTCAGGTCGGTGCCATCCCCTCTCAGGTCGGTGCCATCCCCTCTCAGGTCGGTGCCATCCCCTCTCAGGTCGGTGCCATCCCCTCTCAGGTCGGTGCCATCCCCTCTCAGGTCGGTGCCATCCCCTCTCAGCTCGGTGCCATACCCTCTTAGGTCGGTGCCATCCCCTCTCAGGTCGGTGCCATCCCCTCTCAGGTCGGTGCCATCCCCTCTCAGGTCCGTGCCATACCCTCTCAGCTCGGTGCCATACCCTCTTAGGTCGGTGCCATCCCCTCTCAGGTCGGTGCCATCCCCTCTCAGGTCCGTGCCATCCCCTCTCAGGTCTGTGCCATACCCTCTTAGGTCGGTGCCATCCCCTCTCAGGTCGGTGCCATACCCTCTTAGGTCGGTGCCATCCCCTCTCAGGTCCGTGCCATCCCCTCTCAGGTCGGTGCCATACCCTCTCAGGTCGGTGCCATCCCCTCTCAGGTCGGTGCCATACCCTCTCAGGTCGGTGCCATACCCTCTCAGGTCTGTGCCATACCCTCTTAGGTCGGTGCCATACCCTCTCAGGTCGGTGCCATCCCCTCTCAGGTCTGTGCCATACCCTCTCAGGTCGGTGCCATCCCCTCTCAGGTCGGTGCCATCCCCTCTCAGGTCGGTGCCATCCCCTCTCAGGTCGGTGCCATCCCAACTCAGGTCGGTGCCATCCCCTCTCAGGTCGGTGCCATACCCTCTTAGGTCCGTGCCATCCCCTCTCAGGTCGGTGCCATACCCTCTCAGGTCGGTGCCATCCCCTCTCAGGTCGGTGCCATCCCCTCTCAGGTCGGTGCCATCCCCTCTCAGGTCGGTGCCATCCCCTCTCAGGTCGGTGCCATCCCCTCTCAGCTCGGTGCCATACCCTCTTAGGTCGGTGCCATCCCCTCTCAGGTCGGTGCCATCCCCTCTCAGGTCGGTGCCATCCCCTCTCAGGTCCGTGCCATACCCTCTCAGCTCGGTGCCATACCCTCTTAGGTCGGTGCCATCCCCTCTCAGGTCGGTGCCATCCCCTCTCAGGTCCGTGCCATCCCCTCTCAGGTCTGTGCCATACCCTCTTAGGTCGGTGCCATCCCCTCTCAGGTCGGTGCCATACCCTCTTAGGTCGGTGCCATCCCCTCTCAGGTCCGTGCCATCCCCTCTCAGGTCGGTGCCATACCCTCTCAGGTCGGTGCCATCCCCTCTCAGGTCGGTGCCATACCCTCTCAGGTCGGTGCCATCCCCTCTCAGGTCGGTGCCATCCCCTCTCAGGTCGGTGCCATACCCTCTTAGGTCGGTGCCATACCCTCTCAGGTCGGTGCCATACCCTCTCAGGTCTGTGCCATCCCCTCTCAGGTCGGTGCCATCCCCTCTCAGGTCTGTGCCATCCCCTCTCAGGTCGGTGCCATCCCCTCTCAGGTCGGTGCCATCCCCTCTCAGGTCGGTGCCATCCCCTCTCAGGTCGGTGCCATCCCCTCTCAGGTCGGTGCCATACCCTCTTAGGTCGGTGCCATACCCTCTCAGGTCGGTGCCATCCCCTCTCAGGTCGGTGCCATCCCCTCTCAGCTCGGTGCCATACCCTCTTAGGTCGGTGCCATCCCCTCTCAGGTCGGTGCCATCCCCTCTCAGGTCGGTGCCATCCCCTCTCAGGTCCGTGCCATACCCTCTCAGGTCTGTGCCATACCCTCTTAGGTCGGTGCCATCCCCTCTCAGGTCGGTGCCATCCCCTCTCAGGTCGGTGCCATCCCCTCTCAGGTCTGTGCCATCCCCTCTCAGCTCGGTGCCATACCCTCTTAGGTCGGTGCCATCCCCTCTCAGGTCAGTGCCATCCCCTCTCAGGTCGGTGCCATCCCCTCTCAGGTCGGTGCCATCCCCTCTCAGGTCGGTGCCATACCCTCTTAGGTCGGTGCCATCCCCTCTCAGGTCGGTGCCATCCCCTCTCAGGTCGGTGCCATCCCCTCTCAGGTCGGTGCCATCCCCTCTCAGGTCGGTGCCATCCCCTCTCAGCTCGGTGCCATACCCTCTTAGGTCGGTGCCATCCCCTCTCAGGTCGGTGCCATCCCCTCTCAGGTCGGTGCCATCCCCTCTCAGGTCCGTGCCATACCCTCTCAGCTCGGTGCCATACCCTCTTAGGTCGGTGCCATCCCCTCTCAGGTCGGTGCCATCCCCTCTCAGGTCCGTGCCATCCCCTCTCAGGTCTGTGCCATACCCTCTTAGGTCGGTGCCATCCCCTCTCAGGTCGGTGCCATACCCTCTTAGGTCGGTGCCATCCCCTCTCAGGTCTGTGCCATCCCCTCTCAGGTCGGTGCCATCCCCTCTCAGGTCGGTGCCATCCCCTCTCAGGTCGGTGCCATACCCTCTTAGGTCGGTGCCATCCCCTCTCAGGTCAGTGCCATCCCCTCTCAGGTCGGTGCCATCCCCTCTCAGGTCCGTGCCATACCCTCTCAGCTCGGTGCCATACCCTCTTAGGTCGGTGCCATCCCCTCTCAGGTCGGTGCCATCCCCTCTCAGGTCCGTGCCATCCCCTCTCAGGTCTGTGCCATCCCCTCTCAGGTCGGTGCCATACCCTCTCAGGTCGGTGCCATCCCCTCTCAGGTCGGTGCCATCCCCTCTCAGGTCGGTGCCATACCCTCTCAGGTCGGTGCCATCCCCTCTCAGGTCTGTGCCATACCCTCTCAGGTCGGTGCCATCCCCTCTCAGGTCGGTGCCATCCCCTCTCAGGTCGGTGCCATACCCTCTCAGGTCGGTGCCATCCCCTCTCAGGTCGGTGCCATCCCCTCTCAGGTCGGTGCCATACCCTCTTAGGTCGGTGCCATCCCCTCTCAGGTCGGTGCCATACCCTCTCAGGTCGGTGCCATCCCCTCTCAGGTCGGTGCCATCCCCTCTCAGGTCGGTGCCATACCCTCTTAGGTCCGTGCCATCCCCTCTCAGGTCGGTGCCATACCCTCTCAGGTCGGTGCCATCCCCTCTCAGGTCGGTGCCATCCCCTCTCAGGTCGGTGCCATACCCTCTCAGCTCGGTGCCATACCCTCTTAGGTCGGTGCCATCCCCTCTCAGGTCGGTGCCATCCCCTCTCAGGTCTGTGCCATACCCTCTCAGGTCGGTGCCATCCCCTCTCAGGTCGGTGCCATCCCCTCTCAGGTCTGTGCCATCCCCTCTCAGGTCTGTGCCATCCCCTCTCAGGTCTGTGCCATCCCCTCAGGTCTGTTTCCCCGCACAACCCACGCACTTCCTTTTGGGTCGTATTGTCCCTCAGTGTGTAGCCGCATGCTCCCTGCACAGAGTCACACTCCCATGCTCCCTGCACAGAGTCACACTCCCATGCTCGCTGCACAGCGTCACGTTCCCATCCTCTTCAATTGTATGCACCCCTTTTCCCCACTCTTTCTCCTCTCCCCCCCCCCCACCAATTGCCTACCGTCCTCATCCTAATCCGTCCCATCTCGCATCGTCATCTGCCCACCATCCAGCTGGGGGACATTCAGGACATCTTGACGGTGCCGGGAGCGCCGATCCAGCTCACAGTGCAGCAGTACCTGGACGTGTACCTGGGTTACCAGGAGGCCTGGGTTGGTTACGCCAGTCTTATCCTCCTCGGCTTCACGGCTCTCTTCTTTGTCGTCTTTGCAGTGGCGCTTAAAGTCATCAACTTCCAAAAACGCTAGAAATTCTTTCTAGGAGCTGCATGCCGAAAGTGTGTGAGAGGGGGAGGGGGGGGGCTTGTAGACAACCAGGCAAGGCATTGAACCCGTTTGTAGCAAACCGTGAGTTGATTGCATGGGATGTTATGCTCGAACAGTGCTAGCTTAGCTTGCACAAACCATGTGCTAGCTTACATCGATGCATTTAGGGGCTTGTAGAGGGCTAGACAACACAAGACAGCCCCGTTTAACAAGCAGGATCGCAAGTTAGTCCATGAAGTCGACAAGGTTGATATGTGTTGGAAATATCTCAAAAGACTTGAGCGTTTCTGAAGTGTAACACTACACTCGAGGAAGATCGCAACGGGTACGCGAGTCAACGGAGGTTACACGAGGGGTCGGACAAAGAACGCGAAGGGACTCGAAGGGTCGCAACTGGAGGTTGCGACTGACCGTTACAACAGCGCGGATGGTAACCGAAGCGACAATCGAGTCGCTGTGCGACTCGATAACCGCTCCTGCAACTGTATTCTACAACTGCTTTACTTTCCTATTTTCTATATATTGCTGTATGCTTGTTTCTTTAATGAATCACTTGTTCTCATATACTAGTACAAGGGTTCAACTACCTCAACTTCCACTGCACTACTCAAGTCTTTTATAACTGGGAATAGTCTCTGGAAAGATCCCAAGGGCTTTTCTCAGCCCAACATGGTATGAGAGCTGGTCAGAGACCAAACTCCCAGCAACTACGCTCTATCTACAATCTGCAATTCAACGACTTCATTGATTACAAGTCATGGACAGCAAGGGCAAGAAAACCTCTACGGGCTCACCCAGCGCCCAAGACATTCAACCCGGCAACTCTGGATTGCATACTTCAGGACTGCAAACTGAGACCGGCGCTGCTCAAGAAACAACAGGAAGAGCACCGGAAATGGTGACCCCATCACCCTCTTCAAGCGTGGATCCGAATCTTATGGAAAGGTTCTTCAGCTTCATGTCGCACTTCGACCAGCAGCAGCAGACAAGGACACCTGCGCATTCAACACAGAGCAACGGAGGAAACATGGGATTAGCGCCGATGAGCCTCGACAACTCATCGTTTGGACGACACAATCAAGCGCCTACCTTTGTGCCTTATCACTCTTCACCGGGGACATTCGAGTTCATGCCGCCCCGTGCCCAACCAACAGCAGCTGCATCACAACAGACACCAAACGAGATTTTGAGTCTCCAGGTGCAGTTTTCACACGTAATCAAGTTACAGACATCCTCACCATTCAACGGACTCGATTTCTTTACCTGGAGCTTTGAGTTTGAGCTGGTGATGGAGGCTGCGCACCTCTTGGGATACTTCAACGGGTCCCTGCCATTTCCAAGCAACGGCACTGCAAAGGAGCAAGAAATATTTACTTATCAGTCGCTGCTGGCGTACACAGTTCTCTTGCACAACCTGTCACCACAAGAACAGCAGAGCATCAGAACGTATCGGAGCTATGGAAACTCCGTGGAACTCGCATGGCATCTCCTCAAGTGTCTCTATCAAGCAAACGACAGCGTGACACAAAGCAGACTCATGCAACAGCTGACAACAATCCAGATGAAGACCGGGGAAAAAGCGATGCAGTATATGAGTCGATGTCAGACCCTCCGCGACCGCCTGCTTCGGTGCGGAGGAACAATCACTGAAGAAAGCTTCGTGACGCTTGTTCTCGCAGGGCTCGGGCCAGAATGGAGAACCACACGCTCGCTTCTTCGCGCCCACGGAAGGATCTCGGAGATGCACCTCTGCGCCGAGCTTCATGCTGAACAACAGGAGATGGACCTGTTCGAAGAAAGACAACCAAGAAAGCAGCAGCAGTTAGTTTTCTACACTCAACGAAGGAACGACAACAACTACAATCGACGCGGCAAACAAGATCAACGCGACAACAGAGGACTCACCTTCGTGCCGCCGTTTTGCCACAACTGTCAGACTTCCGGACATTCCAAAGTCAACTGCACACGTCCTCGTGTTTATCGTCCAGTAGACCCACAAGTCGCCTCCACTCAAGAAAGCCCTCCAAGGCGCTCTCCCACATCTGCACAAGGGACACCAAACATCATTAACTGCATGGTACACATCGACAACTGCGCACCCGGATCACCACCCACTTACGCGCCAGACGAAGAAGAATTCCCACCGCCGCGCTCCCAAGGACTTCAGGTCAACCCGACATACGCTGCGGTCGCCAACGCCGAACCAATCGGGCGAAACACCTGGTTCTTGGACAGCTGCTGCGGTCAACACATGTGTTCTTCCGGACGCTTCGTGCAACGAGAGCGACGCCTCAACCGCGACGTCATCATCACCGTCGCCAACAACGAGAACCTGAAAACAAACAGACAAGGAGTGGTTCAGTTACAATCCATGGAGAAATTGGCAAAGGCAAAATTCGATTACTGCACGCTGCTGACCGAGCAGACAAACGTCACCGGATCTGAACACGTCAGCACTCCAGAAACGAAGGGGAGTGTTGGAAATATCTCAAAAGACTTAAGCGTTTCTGAAGTGTAACACTACACTCGAGGAAGATCGCAACGGGTACGCGAGTCAACGGAGGTTACACGAGGGGATGGACAAAGAACGCGAAGGGACTCGAAGGGTCGCAACTGGAGGTTGCGACTGACCGTTACAACAGCGCGGATGGTAACCGAAGCGACAATCGAGTCGCTGTGCGACTCGATAACCGCTCCTGCAACTGTATTCTACAACTGCTTTACTTTCCTATTTTCTATATATTGCTGTATGCTTGTTTCTTTAATGAATCACTTGTTCTCATATACTAGTACAAGGGTTCAACTACCTCAACTTCCGCTGCACTACTCAAGTCTTTTACAACTGGGACTTAGTCTCTGGAAAGATCCCAAGGGCTTTTCTCAGCCCAACAATATGAAGTCCCAGAGGTATACATATATTTAAAGATGTCTAATTTAGTGAAAAAGTCTTGGATTCCAAACAACTTCTTCATATATATTTATACTATCGAATGTTATCATCAACTCTTGTCTTGCACCCAAATGTTAGAACACTAGAATAAATTAGAAGGAAGAGAGAACATGGGAGATATAGGGTTTGGGTTGTACTCTCTAAGAACACACACCTATTCTAGCCTATAACTTCTCCATGCAAATGAATGTATAAGCTTACACACCCCCTAGGCTAGATAAGGGGTAGTGCTGAGCAAGAAGCACCCAGCTCAAGGTGGCACTACTAGTCCAACCTTTGTGACAGGGGTCCAAAGACCATTCAGCAAGAGTACAAACAAGACAAGAGCAAACCAGGGCGGCACTAGTACTCCGGCCACTGTAAGAGAAGCCACAAGGCCAGTCTGAAAGATATATATAAAGAGGACTACACAATCAAGGTCCTAGCAAGTGAGAGTCTACAGGAACTAGACCAAGCTGCAAACAGTGCCGCTGATGATCTCTAGGTGCAAGCGCCTTAGTAAAGATATCAGCTATGTTGGCACCGGAGGCCAAGTGTACTACGCGGACCTGGCGACGCTGCTATAGCTCACGCAGGAGGAAGTACCGCAGCTGGATGTGCTTCGCTCTGCCCTCAAGTCGAGGCTCCTGACACAGGAGGATCATGGCCCTGTTGTCAGCGTACAAGACTGGGGCAGAACTAGGCCACTGACCTAAGTCGGTGAGCAAGAAGGTCAGCCAGCGGAGCTCCTATGCCGCCATGGCACCGGCTAGATCTCAGCCTCACAGCTAGACTGGGCAACAGACGACGAGCGAGTGGACCTCTACAAGATGGCACCCGAACCAAGGCTAAAGCAGTAGCCTTGGGAGGACCTGAGGGTCTCAGCGTCATCTGCCCAAGAAGCGTCTGTGTGCCCAGTAAGGACCACTGGCCTGCGTCCTTCCAGCACTAGCCCCATGCCCAATGTACTTGCTAGATAACGCAAAACCCTCTTAGCGGTCGACCAGTGCTGTGGTCGGTGTCTGCCTGTGGCCACAAAGCGAGCCATGATGCTGAGAGGGTATGCAAGATCTGGACGAGTGCAAGTCATCAGGTTGATGAGGCAACCCACCGGCTCTGCATAAGGATCACTGGGCTCCACTGACTACCCTAGAACTAGAGCAAAGAGCCTGTGATCTACTGGAAGAGGAGTGGGATGTGCGGAGGAGAACTCAAGACCGAACCTCTGAAGGACCTGGCGCACCAAGTGTGACTGTGTGAAAGTGATGGTGCGCGTTGCGCTGTCCATGAAGATCTGCAGGCCAAGGTAGCGGCACAGCTCTCCAAGGTCAGTGCAGGTGTGTCTCTTCAGCAACTCAGCCTTCACGGAGGCCAGTGCGTCTCTTTCTGCAGTAGCAAAGACCAGGTCATCTACGTAGACAAGGATGTAGAACGGAGTCTGGCCAGCACGAACGAAGAGCGAGGGGTCTGCAGAGGACGGAAGAACTGCAGGTCAGCTAGCGTAGCACGCAGCGTGTCGTGCCACTCACGGAGCGCCTGTCGCAGGCCGTAGACCAAGCACCGGAGGAGCCATTGGGTCCCAGGAGGGAAGGTACCGGTGAAGCCCTGTGCACGGCGCAGGTAGTCCTGCTCATGTAGACTGCCCTGAAGAAATGATGTGGAGAAGTCGAGCAAGTGTAGCTCGTAGTCATGCTTTGCTGCTACGTGTAGCTGTGCTCGAAGAGTAGTCATCTTCGGGGTCGGGGCAAAGGTCTAAAAGAAGTCCACCCCCAATCGCTGATTGAAGCTTCTAGCCACGTAGCGCTCCTTGAAAAGAGGCGGCTCTCCAGCGGGGCGCTTCACCTTGAAGAGCCACCGGCCATCGACTACGTTCACCCCAGGTGGGGGGACTGTGTCGACGTCGGTGCCAGTGGATCTTCAAGATGCCATCTCCTGCTCCATGGTAACTATCCACTGAGAGGCCCAGGGTCCCGAGGTCGCCTCAGCGTAAGTGCGAGGGGTTGGGATGTCAAAGGTGTCTGGGTTATCCTCAGGGACTAGCAGCATGGAACAGAGATGGGGAGCAGCCTCGGACAGGAAAGCAAGCTCGTACTACCGGTCCTCTAGGACGTCACTACCAAGGGCAAGAGCACCCTTCATGGACTGAGGACGGAAAGGGTCAGAGACCAGAGCGGTGGCGTAGTCAAGGCGGCGGGTAGAGGCAAAGTCAGCGACAGCGGCGACAAGAGCGTCAAGACTGGAGATAACAGACGGGTCAGTAACGAGGGAGGCAAGGACCCGAGGAACAAGAGGACGAGCAGCACGAAGGTAGTCAGACAGAGGGGAAGGCGCGACGGTGAGCAACGACGGAGGAGGG